TGTAGATGAACCCTTGGAACTCCAATCTTGCAACCTTCAGATCATTAGTTACAACATCAACCACACCTCCATTATTATAATGTGTGTATATGTACGGAGTGTTCTTGATATATATTCATAGATAAACAATTGGATAATCAAATATTTACATACGTTGTAGTTGACTTGAGATGATATTAGAGAAATTACATTCAAGAAACCACAATGCCTTCTTGTATGTCTTTATATATGTATATATATTGTATTCTCATTGTTATACCCAGAAGGATAACAGGTAGACTGTAGACTATGTACATAAACTCAGTGAAAAAACATATTTCCTACCAAATATTCCAGATATAACATTAGAAATCTAGAATTCACTTCTTTATTTTGATTTTTGTTTCCTATGAATGCAGCCCAAGCACTATATACCATCTCCACAAGATTTCACTCTCTCAGATCTTTGATATTTACTACAAAGTACATATTTTCCTTCACTTGTAAATTCCCAATATAGAATTTACTCTGCCAAGAAAGAAGCGAATGGTCGGATATTAGAAACCCACGGAAGTAAACAAGTTCCACATGGCAAAAACCTAGGAACCGATCTATGTATAATACTTATATAATATGTAGTTCATACTCTTCAGCGCTACAATACTAACAGTAGTAACAGTAACAGTATATAAGTAGTAATAGTACCTATATAGTACCATATGAATTTTCATCACTGAAACATTTTCCTTGGCAGATCATAAGGTAGGGTTTCTGTGATGTCACTAATTTAGGAAACGATATTATCTCCAGATCTTCCCCTCCTTCCAAATAACCCCCATTTTCTCCAACTCTCCCCAACCCCGATCATGCAGAAATTCAAGGAGAGATTCGAACAAAAACTTGATAGTTTGGAGGAGTCATTCAAAGGTAGATCAACATGCCCAATTTATCAAAAAAAAAACAAAACAAAACAAAACCTGACATTATCCAAGACACCCGTATCCACGATGTCAAAGCTGAAGCTACACATTTAAAGGCCAAAGTGGGCAAGTTCTTTAATATCATAAACCCAAACCATCGCCATGACGAAGAACACGAACAAGCGACAGACCGCAAGCGCTCCGGGATCGCAGACTCGCACCGCTTCAAGTCCTTTGCACCCATCCACGATGGTAATCGTGTCAAGTGGTATGTTGATGGTAAGGACTACATGTGGGCAGTCTCCGAGGCTCTAGAAAAAGCTACCGAGACTATCTACATCGCCGACTGGTGGCTCTCTCCAGAACTCTTCTTGCGCCGCCCTCCTGTCCAGCATCAGGAATGGCGATTGGATCAGATCTTGAAGCGGCGCGCGGAAGCAGGTGTCAAGATATATGTCATTGTCTACAAAGAAGTTGGAATTCTCCTATCAGTATCAAACAAAAAGGAACTGAACCAATTCATCGATAGGTCAATCAAGCCCTGACTTGTAATTCCGCACATACTAAACATGCCTTGCGAAACCTCTGCCCCGAGGGAACTCCTGGCTACGGCAATATCCGAGTTATGCGTCACCCCGACCACAATATCTTTGAGAATGCAGCTGATATGACTCTGTACTGGGTATGTGGATGGGATTATATTGGTTGGAACAGAATTAACAGTAATCAGGCGCACCACGAGAAATTTATCGTCATCGATTACAATGTGGCTTTCATCGGAGGCATTGATCTTTGTTTCGGACGATGGGATGCAAACCAGCACCCACTGGCCGATGTCCACCCGACAGGTTTGAGAGATGACATTTTCCCAGGACAAGACTTCAATAACAACCGGATCATGGACTTCCAGAGCGTAGAGGACTGGCAGAGCAATGAAGTTAGCAAAATCGACTATGGCCGCATGCCCTGGCATGACGTGGCCATGGGCTTGCAGGGCGACTGTGTGTTTGACATTGCCGAACACTTCGTTTTGCGCTGGAACTTCATCAAGCGTGACAAATACAAGCGCAGCCACGATGTTGATTGGCTGCTAATGGAGGGCCGCACAGGCGAAGAAGAAGATATCATCGCCGTGCAGCGGCCCAAGTACCCCTGTGGAGACTATGTCCAACACCCGCTGACACCCCTATCGTCCAAGGCTCGCGGTAACGTGGGAACTGTGCGCGCTCAAATCGTGCGCAGCAGTGACGACTGGAGCAGTGGAATTCTGAACGAGCATAGTATTCAAAACGCCTACTGCGAGACCATTCGAAATGCACAGCACTATGTGTACATTGAGAACCAGTTCTTCAGTATGTCCCGCGTTCTCTCCTAGCAGTGTATCTCGCTAATATTTTATAGTCACTGCGACTGGTGACCAACAGCGCCCGATTTTCAACACAATCGGCCGAGCAATTGTCGATGCTTGCGTGCGTGCAGGCAAAGAGGGCCGCAAGTTCCGGGTTATCATTGTTATACCCGCGATTCCTGGATTCGCTGGCGATTTGCGAGACAATGCTGCGTTGGGTACTCGGGCGATCATGGACTACCAATACAAGTCGATTTGCCGTGGTGAGCACTCGATCTTCGGGCAGATCGAGAAAGAGGGTATTAACCCAAGAGGTAAGTTTTTCTTTGCTTTTGGGGTTCGATCTCAGTTGCATATCTAACGAGTTCATTCAGAACACGTCTTCGTGTTCGCCCTGCGCGCTTATGATCGAATCAACAAAACGCCTGTTCTCGAAGAGCTCGAGAAGCAAGCTGGTGTTACATATCAGGATATCCAGCGCGGCATCGCGGAGACAATTATGAGTGAAAGTGTACACCCAGCAGTGGGGAAAGATGGCGATAGTAACGAAAAAGACTACGCGGCCGACCAAAATGCAAAGGAAGAGACTCTGCGCAAGCTCCAGAACTTCCAGGACAAGGTCGAGCAGAGAGAGCCCGATGATGGTGTCCACAGCAAGGATTCAGTATCTCATTGCACCATGTTGAACGGGGGTAAGATGTCCGACGAGAACTGGGAGGGCGACCCAGAGGCCGAAAAGTCCAACTTTGTCCAGGAGGAGCTGTACGTGCACGGCAAAGTGTGTATCGTCGACGATCGCACGATCATTTGCGGCAGCGCCAACATTAATGATCGGGTAAGTAGACACCATCACCTCATCCCTTGTCATATCTGACGCATTCACTTGACTTTGTTTTTTTTTCCGGTTTGTATCATCAGCTAATATCCGACGTTCCCCACAGTCCCAGCTTGGCTCTCACGACAGTGAACTGGCCATCGTAATGGAAGACCAAGATCTAATTGACAGTCAAATGAACGGACAGCCGTACCGGGCATCCCGATTGGCCGCAACGCTGCGGCGTCAACTGTGGCGCGAACACCTGGGCCTACTGCAGGCGCAAAATTACGACGCCTCAGATGATCCAAACGCGCGACCGCCCGATGAGTGTCTCAACGAGATCGACGAGGGACCGGAGAACGAGTTCGTGATGGATCCACTCAGCGATGCGGTCTGGAACACCTGGACGTCGCAGGCGAGCGGGAACACCGAGGCGTATCGGATGCTGTTCCGAGCGGACCCTGACGATAATATCAAGACTTTTGAGGACTATAACAATTTCCGGCCACGGGGCGCGCACAAGGAAGGACATCTGTTCGATCCATATATGCCGGCTAAGGATGTGCGTGAGAAACTGGATCTCATCAAGGGTCACCTTGTTTGGTTGCCGTTAGATTTCCTGCGCGATGCTGAAATGGCAGAGCCTGGGTTGGCTGTCAATCAGATTACAGAGGTGAGATTGATTGGTTTTTTCTTCTTATATTTACGGAGTGCATTGCTAATTGTTCGACAGAGTATCTACACCTAAATCTAGGGGGAAAGAGGAGATCTGCATATATTATTTTCACATAATTCGATCTGTTTCTTTTTTATGTATTTTGGTATTGAAGAGATAAATGCAAATTAAACCTATTAATTTCTACAATACAAAAGAAAGAAGTATGAAATATGTCGGAGTACACAGTTGGTACATCTCCCTTCGATCTAATATACAAATACATACAACATCTAGAAGCCCTAAACGGACTGGTACTTTTGATCCATAAGTAATAAAGTTGTCCCAACTCCCTGGGAACCCTCTATTTCGACTCTATTTAATTCCTATTTTGTATATATTTAGTCTATTTAGTACATATGTATCTTTGATTCTGCTCCAGTTTCGCCAACAAAAAAACAGATACATCGCATTATCACTTGAGTGGCCGGAAAAGGATTCCCCCAAAAAGCAATGGATTAGCGTATTTCTTGGCAATGAATATCAGGTACTTAGGTACTTTGTTACTTTCGTACTTTTAGTACTTTTAGCAGTATTTGTTTTTATTTCCACTTTCCTAAGGGTGCAGCCGGATCTCTGACCGAAACCTTGAACTTGCTTTTTATAGTATGATAGGGGAAGTAGTTGGATTTAGAGAATTATATTGACATTCAGAAAGCGTTCACGAGGTCTTACATACATCCTGTAACTGGCCCAACACAGTCCCCCCTCTAGATGTTGGAGAGCCATGTTCGGCCGGGTACATGATTGTGGCATGAACCACATGGTTGATATAAAATCCATCAAATAATGTCACATTTTCTCTAAGGAAACCCAGCTTCAGACTCTAGAATACAAGTAGGCCCTGAAGAAAACAGAGAAAGAAAGAAAGCAAGGTCTAAGTATAACTCCTTCCGGATGCGAGATGCGGCGCATCAAAAATTTTGGGGACTTTTTTCTTTGGAACACATCCAAATGCATAAACGCACGTTCATCAAAGACCACGAAGAAAGTGGACTGAAAGGAAACCCAGCCCCAAGGGGTTGGGTGGGTGGGAACTACCCTTACACAGGGTTCATGCACAGTAGCAGATCAGGTCTGTAAATACTGAAACCCCAAATGCAGGCGTCTCTTTGAGGAAGTCAGCATTTGCAAGGAGAAAAAAATTCCAATGATAGAGTCCATAGGAATCTTACTGTGGTTCATTTATCCCTTATTGGTGTGGCAAGCATTGCAGCGGCAATGACCACATATCTTGCAACGCCAAATAGCCACAAAGGGCCCCGAGTTGCAGTCCGAGCAACGCCAGGTCAAGATGTTGCCATTGGTAGCCTGAACAATGGCAAAGACGTGACCGGAACATTGGTTGGCCATGTTGATATCAAAGACTTGGAAGCTATTATAGTTAGAAGTAGCTCATTTGACCTTCAAGCTCCAGAGGCTCACATATTTAAAGTAAAACCCGAGGAATTGGGAACGTCGATCACTGAAAGAGCGGAGAAGGGTTCCAAGCACTTGGATTGAAGAAACCAATAGGGTAGGAGGAAAGAAAAAGGGTCTTGAGAGAGTTCGGCGTTCAAAGAGACAAAGACAAAGTCAATTGGGAGGAACTTATTGTCAAGAAGATGAGATTTGAAAGGCCAGGACAAGTCAACCATTATATACTTCTTTCTAGAGATCACAGTGAGGATCCCAGATGCAACCAGTCCACAACTAAAGAGCCGGAATACGCACAATCCCGTAATAACGCATGTAACCGGGATATTGTTGGCTTCCTCATAGAGGAAAAAGAAAAGAAAAAGGGAAGGAAAATTAAAAAAAAAAAAAAGAAATCAAAAATCAAAAAAGAATAAACTGAGAGAATCAAGTAGTGTGTATGTGTGAGAGAGAGAGAGGGAGAGGGAGAAATATAAATGATAGATATATACCAAAATCGCATCTTGCATAAAAATTTAAGAGCCCAGGTAGATCTTAGACTAAACAAAGAGACAATAGAGATTCCGATCGTGGAGATCGGAGGAACATGATTGGGAGGTCTCGATCAAAAAGAAAGCTGGGGGGGGGGGGGGAAGGGGAACCGGAATGAGACCCGAATGCATTTATTTAGGTATTTTGTTTTAGTGTATGAAGTAGCCTCTTAGGGATATAAATACCTAGGTAATATTATCATATACAAAGTAATATATATAATAAATATATAGATATATAAAATAATAGGGGAATCTAGGAATTTAACCTAATTAGAAGTGAAGAAAGTCGGAAATCCTAGGGAATTCCAGAAATATGATGGAAATATGATAGAAACGACTTTTATCATCCGACTATAAGACTATAAAATAGTAAGTGGAGCTGAAATTGTGTACTTTTGTTAAGTACATGTCCCGTCCCGACAAGTTGGATTAAACTACATACGGAGTAAGATCGGAAGTTTCGTAGATATTATGGAGTATAGTACTTTAGTACTTTAGTACTTTTTCCCCCTCCTCTTTCAATCGGACTTTTGTATCCCAGCAATCCGGTTCCGATCAGATGCATATTCTACGAGTATACCGGGTATATGCCGTGTATATTAAGTGTTATCTATACTCCGTACTTCTACTCCGTACAAAATATAGCATATCCTATTCCATACATTCACCTCTCTAAGAAAACCACCCCTGAAACTCCTAATACATCAACTTTTGATACATCAACTTCGCTTAGGCCAAGAAAGATCCACATACTCCATATCGTCATTTGTACTATTCAGCTATTTACAAAGTATTTCAATTTCAGTTTCAGTTTCAGCAAAGCCATTCCATTGAATCCAACTATTTGCCTTTCAGCTGGTGAAATCAATTGACAAATTCTTCTGGCCGGGATATAAGATGTAATACCTCCCCGCTGCATTAGTGTGCCAGTTTGGCGCTTGCATGGCCCAATTGCTTATTGAATAGCCGCAAAGCCCTATAATTACTTTTCTTTTGCCTTTGCTTTTTTTTCCTTTTTTAGTTGAATCTCCTTTATGATTGTAATCTCTGTCACATCCGTGAATCCACATGTTTGTTCGCGGAGATTCTACCATAGTCTAATCAATATCTTCTCCAGCGACTGGATGGGGCAGTTCTAGTTCTTTTTCTCATTGTACAAGAGTACAAGAGTTTGAAATGAGTACAGAGTACTAAAAGAACCGAGAAGAATCTCATTGAAGGTGACACAACGGTGGGTTTCTAGGCTCGAGTTTTCTCTACAACAACTAAAGGGGTATTCAACTATACACACTGGCAGGGATTTCACGGAGAAATATTACACTTCCGATAAGTTTGCAAGGAATGCTTGACTGGACTTAGGTCCATCTGTCACACCTGAAGATTGCAAATTGGGCCAGCCATAGCCGTTCGAGATCGGCTCGGGAGATGAGAAGATACTATACTTAGAGACCCTGAGAACCAATTGATCATGCCAAGCGACCTGGAACACTTTTGAAAAGTGGGAACTCTGCTCTATCCAACTATCTCACGGCTGATCAATGGAAACGTGCACACCGACACTCCCCATTGGAAGCATGTACCTCGATACCTCTACTTCTTAGTGGACACACACACTCTGGGCTTGGCGATCACCAGACCACGACCAAATCACAAACCAGCTTCCAGAATCATTCACTACCAACCGCATCGGTGTGACGGAAATGAAGTCAACATAACAGGAAAATCGGAAACAATCGTTGGGAAGGAAATCCCTCGGCTATCTTCTCTACCGGGAAGTTTGCCTGCATGAGCCAACAGGATAAAATGTCAAGTGTCAAAGTGGGAGAAAAAAATTGTGAATTGTTTGCTATCGAATTACATCATGTTCGAGATCGCCTCCTTGCACCACTTCCACAACCTCAAGGTCAATCGTTCCGAAGAACTGAGAAAGGGGTGACTTCTCCATGCTATAAACTCCGAAGAGAACACAACATGAAGTAAGAAAACATGATCCGATTTAATCTGCCAACGCTCCGTTAAGAACACCTTGTGGAAAACGAGATGCTCCTGCAGAACCCAGAGTGGACTGCATCGCTGGTTTGGGGGGTCGTGATATGATCACTTTACGAGGCCGGGAACGGGGGGATAACGCGGGCAACATGGGTGAACGAGGAAACGGCAAAGGTCCAGAACGATTCGTTCATTTGGTAGGAAATAGGTATCATGTCATCAACAGTTGCAGGGGAGCCTGCACATCAGTACGCAAAAAGAGGAAGTATCAAAGTCTCTCTTTGCTTGGTTTCGTTATTTTTCCTCATTACTGCCATATGCCTCATCAGTCGTTAAGGTGGAAGAGGGCCGAGACGCTGCTCGTTGTTAGTAGATGGTCATACGACACCACATGGTCAGTGGAAACAAACCTTTCGCCATAATGGTGCCTCCGGATGCTCTCTGCCAATAGACTCGAGATATCAATGACAATCAACTTTTTTGATCTCCGCAACATTGACGGTGAGATTGGGAAAGTGTTGGTCACGACAATGTGGTCGATTGAGCGACACGCTTCCATCTGATCTAAGGAGTTCTCTCCAAACAATCCGTGGGTGGCAATACAGTAAACCTTGCTGGCCCCACCACGCTTGACGACAGTCTCTGCGGCTGCGACCCACGATCCGCTCTTGTCAATCATGTCATCAACAAGGAAGACAGATCGGTCGCGCACCTCACCTACCAGCGTGATGGTCCTTTCATCGACATGGCCGGCACATACACTAGCTTCGTCATCAGACTCGACTGCGTCAAAAGAGCCACCAAGTGCATGGTCAGGTTGCGACGAGGTGTTGGAGATCATAGAGCTAAGCATAGCGTCAGGAACCTCTGTGTTATCATGGTTGCTGCTGCCAGCTCCCGGCGTGGTGCCACCAGAGCGTGACTCTTCGTTGACACGATAATCATCATCAACCAATTGACCTTGCACTAGACGACCGGTAATCACATCCCGCACACGCACATCCGTGTACTCGTATGCGGCTTCCAGCTCCGATGGGCGGCGAGCCGCAGGTGGTGTTTCTGGCCGCAAAAGATACTGCGCAGCAGGGGGGGTGATTGGCTCCGGCTCCTCCGGAATGGGAGGTGTTGCAGGTGTTCTATTGGAACTGTGCATACGAAGCTCAAAGGGATGTGCCTCCTTGGCCACTGGAGGATCTTCATCCACAGCATCGAAGAAAACTGTGCTATCAGTCATGGCGGCCGCGGGGAACTTCGGGCGCCGACGATCCGTCGTCACAATACCGAAGTTTAGCTTCAAAGTATCAGCCAGCGATGTGACTCGCTTGGTTCCACCAGCATTCTTGCTGACCACCACGGCGTCTTTCCAGCTAGGAACATTCATCCGGATCCAGCGGGCAATAAACGGTTCGGCAAAGAGGTTGTCGACTGGCTTTCCGAAGAACCCTTGCATCTGGGATGCCTAGGAGCCCATCAATATCCATATTACAAAACTCAACATCGCATAGAAACATACGTGCAGGTCCATAGTGATCACATGGTCCACGCCGGCGATCGTGAGGAGATTGGCGAGCATACGGGCCGTGATAGCACCACGATGGCTCTTCTTCTTAGATTGGCGCGAGTATGGGAAGTATCTCGTTTGAGAGTCAGCATTGTCTGTGATTTAGAGTCAAACAGGACGGGCAGCATACGGCATGACCGCTATGGAAACGAGTTAGTGGGGAAAATTTTTGTACCTCAGTCATCAGCAACATACCTGTAATGGACTTGGCTGAGCCCCCCTTGCACGCTGAGATCATGATCAGGAGCTCCATAACACTATCGTTAATCTTCTCACTACCACTTTGAATGATGTAAACATCCTGATTCCGCACTGAGGTACCGATGTTGACACTGGTCTCGCCATTGGCAAATTTTCCTAGGTTAGCTTTGGCAGGCACAGTGCCCAGTCGCTCGCAGATAGTATCTGCGAGACCGGGGTGAGAATTCCCCGAAAATATCTGGACGCCCCGCATGATTTAAGAAAAAGACATGAGTGACGTGGAAGGAGGAGGGAAAAAAAAAAAAGGAAAAAAGTTTAGAAGGGAAAAGTTCGGGAATGCTGCGCGGGTGGTGTGTGTCGGCCGCCGTATGGGGGTTTCTTTATCGGGCCCGATAAACGGAGTTGCATCATTCCCAAACATCCCACCATGTCGAAGTTCCCAGAAGTACAAGGTGGAGGTTCATTGATACTCGCTTGGCAAATTAAATACAAGCATGTACTAGTCATAGGTGGTGGAGAGGTACGTGATTGACACTGATAACAGCTATATATATCTCGTTTAGACGCTGGGACTGATCTATATATCTCTGCTAGGTTGCTTCAGGCCGGATCCTCCACGCTCTCAATGCCGATGCTCGGGTTACTGTGGTTTGTCCAGCCACTGGATTAAATGAAGAAGTGGCCTTCAGAGTGGCAGAAAAGCAGGTCACACATGTTGATCGGAATTTTGCGCCATCCGACCTCGAGAATGTGGACATGGTACTCTGTGCTATTGACGACCCGGAGGCTTCAACACAGATCTG